TCGTCTCCAGTTCAACTTAAAACAGAATGAGAATTGAAAGTGCTCCCACGGATGCCTACACTAAAAGATCGGTGATTGGCTCATTTCGATGTCAATCAAACTGGAACACAGGCTCAGACAGATCATCCAATCTGATGCAGAAAAAGTGAGCGTCCGGTACCCGCCCACTGCCATCCAGTCCCAGAGACGCCGAGCGTCCGTGGGCGGGACAAAAACCAGCTTGTATCCAATGACTCGTCTCCGTTCAACGAATTGGGACAACCTACCCTGAACTCTCGAGACGCTCAGCGTCCGGGCAGTCGACGCTCAGCGGACGCTCGGCGTCCACCGTTTAAAGCACAGCGAAGCTGCGGGAATGAATGAGAAGGGAGTCGCGTCGTAACCAGTAAGAAGAAGCTGATTCGGAACAAAAGTTGAGCACGTTGTAGCGCATATTTAGTCAATGACATGTACGCACAATGAAATTTACATTCATATATTTGATCACTTATTCTTTGACATTTTAGGGGAAGCTGAGCTTCCCTTGCAGTCCGAGAGCAATCGCCACTGTCCCCAACCACCGGTCCGCAGACCGGTGCCGGGCCTTGACCGATTTGGGACCGGCCCGCACAGCGACAGACCTGCGACGTCGACACACATTCACTGTGTTAATTTATAGAATATTTGTTGTGCTGTAGAATAACACTGTTTGAAAGGAATGGAGTTAATAAAATGTTGAATTACCCTATAATTATCATTGTTGTCAGTACCAGCGCTTTACAACTGGCAATGAAAAAAAATAATGGTTGCTGGTCCACGAACAGTATGTACTTCCCTCAACCGGTCCATGACACAAAAAAAGGTTGGGAACCACTGCTCCTGAGCAGCTGAAAGATGCAGCCTGGAGAAGGCAATTTGCTCACAAGGAGTCGACCAAAGGCCCGTCACCCGTGCACACAAGGCTCCCTCAAAGTTACTCAAATCATTCGATTGCATTGATTGTCTCAAAAGGTTGTGCAACAAACCATTAAGTGTAACATCCCCTTTTTCCAGGCCAGTTTAATTTTCAAGTTATAAATAAATAAATACAAAAAAAGAAGAACCCCAGAAATAAAGCAATATGATTTTCCTCAGTTTTACCTACTAGTTACTTTTGTCAGTTTCAAATTACTGTGACCATTGTGAGTTTTTTTTTCCTTTAATGGTCTCCACGTGTCACTGCTTGACATTGACTTCTATCAGATGCCTCAAATGTCAACGGCAGTTTGATCCAAGCCGCGCACTCCTGTTCATGCTTTAAGTGCCTTACCTTTCCAAGGAAATGGCTTTTCATCATGCTTGCATTCTGAGTCGCTGCATTATGTGTGAGCACTGTGCCCAAGGTCTGAGTTTTCAAAGATGGCTATCTCCTGTCGTCAAGAGCCTCCATCGAAGAACAGAAGATTTGCATAATGTGATTTGGGATTTACAAAGAAGTGTTGTTAATACCACTGATGATTTTTCCCTCTCCGTTCTTCAAAAGACACTTCACACTTTTTTTTTTCTTTTCCAGTCATCATTTGATAGGCCCGCTTAATCTGATAGGATATTGATAAACTTTTGCACACTGAAGAATTGCGCGTTTATGAATGGAGATTAAAAGTGTGCTGTCAGTTTTAATCTTATTTGATTCCCCCGTGGCTATGATCTTATGATGTGCATCTTGAATAAGAAGATATGGGGTCATTGTTGCTTGTGGCATTTTGACAGCCCAGTGAGCTAAATCCATTTTCTTTTTTGATTCAGAAGACAGAGAGAGATGTTCTACCAATTCCTAGAGTGGAATTTTTCTTATCTTCTTATTTTAGACCCAAGTAGCCTACAAATCCCATTTTGAATTTGCATATTCAATTGTGCCCAATGCCGGTCTGCTCATAACGACATCATTTGAAAGCTTTACCCCCTTCCTTTTAAATCAAACATTTTGCTTTGCATACACATTTTGTCTTTATCTACCTGCTGAGGCAGCTGCAGATGCCTTACCACGCAGTTTGGACTTGGAACCTTATCTCAAAACACACTTATGACATACCTCGTCTTAGCAAAAATAGTGAGAGGGAGGCTGCTTGGATTCCCCATTGTTCTTTACCTCTTGGTGAAAATACAGACTGCTATATGAAAGGAAGCATATACACTTGAGTTAAAAAGTCATGGCTTCAACAAAGGTAGGGGGAAGGCTTTTCCAACGCCCCCCAAAAAGGAATAATGACAGCGAGAGCACTGAGGCAAAGATGGGTAGGAGGTTAAAGGTGTGCAGTATTAGTGGAGACTTGTAACACTAATCACTGGAGGCTTACAGACTAACTTCACCCCCCCCCCCCACACACACACACACACACACACCCACCCACCCTTTGGTTCTGTGATGTTCAGAAATATCTGCGCTGTTACCATGGTCACTGTGTGGTCATGGCTAAGTGTTGGGAGGGTGTAAGCCAACAAATGATGTACACAGACACACACACACACACACACACACAGTAAATAAAATCTTGATAGTTAATGTTCAAATTAATACCTCTTTGTAGTTACACTTTGTCAGATTTCCAACTTGTGGAACCTGATCTTCAGATTGACAGGTGAACAAATGCCACTATCTGTTACTGTGACTAAACACTGTAGTGCAAAACGCTTTTATGAGTGTTTTATCATTGTTTTTTTTTTTTAACATGTTCTTCCATCCCTTTTAATTTATCCGTCATGTGTCGCCACAGCATGTCACCCTTTTCCATTGAAGCTTATCTTCTGCATTCTCTTCTCCATCATTATCTGCCCTCCTGTCGTCCCTCACTCACGCGATCAATCTTTTCTTACGTCTTCCTCTAGCTCTCTCGCCTGGCAGCTTCACCCTCATCGCCCTTCTACCAATATAAAGTACTTCATAATACCCTCGAAATGTGTCCACACCAACATAGTTTTGTCTCGGCAACTTCATCTCCAATACATCTAACCTTGGCTGTCCGTCTATGAGTCAATTTCTAATCTCAACCTGAAGGTAACTCCTACTGAGTGAACCTCAACATCTTCATTTCCACCACCTCAAACTCTGCCCTCTGTTGCCTCTTCAGGGCCACTGTCTGGAAGCCCTAAATCATTTCTGGCATCACCACTGACTTATAAACCTTTCCCTTCATCCAATCAGAAATGATTCTATTACACAACACACCCGGCACCTACCTTCCTACCTGCTTGGATTCATTTTTTTTTTCCTTCTTTCATCACTCCCCATTGTTGTGGATCGTTGATCTAAAGTATTTGAAGTCCTCCACCCTCAAATCTCTTCTCTCCGTAACCTCACTGTTCCCTCTCTACGCCTCTCATGCTTTCACCTAGAATGAATCTATGTGGACTAAATATGCTAAAGGCTGTCATACTTCAGCTAGTCTTTTGCGCATGCCTCCACTTTGCCAAATGTTTCTTCCACCTGCTCCCCGCTCTCACCGCAGACCACAATGTCATCTGCGAACATCTTGGTCCATGACGATTCCAGTCTCACCTCATCTGTCAGCTTATCCATCATCAATGGAAACAGGAAGGGGCTTAGTGCTGATGATCCCTGACGCAGTCACACCTCCACCCTAAACTCCTCTGTAACACCCACAACACACCTTGCCACTGTCCTCCAGCTCTCACACGTGACCTGTACTATTTTAATATACTTCTTTGCCACATTAAATTCCGCACACACCACCACAGTTTCTCTCTCGGTACCGTGCTGCAAGCTTACTTAAGATCTACAAAGACACAATGCAGCTCTTTCTGTCTTTCACTGTACTCCTCCATCAACACGTACTCTGAATTCATCCTCAAAGTAGTCTTTCCAACCATCCAGCACACCACTGGCACCTGTCAACTCATTTCCATGTCGATCCTTACTCACCCTAACCTGCTGCAGCTCCTTCCCACTGCTATCTCTCTGTCTGGCCAACCCGCATAGACCTTTCTCTTCCTCTTCACGACAATCTCCCGGAATACCGCACGTTCACTGATTTTTAAAGAAGAAACTGCAGACAGCTCAGAACAATCTCACTGAGCTTTATTCTAAAAGTTCATGCTCGTATCTCTGAGCATTTTAATCCTTCCATGCACCCTGTAACCTGATAACATGATAAGCTGTCCATTGTAGTAACTGCTGTCCATGAAAGGGTTAAAAAAAAAAAAAACTAAACTGGTTACATGTAGCGAATCGCACAATTCACATGAAAATCATTTTTCAAAATCATTTAGAACAAGGTTCCCATGTACCTGCAAAATAATTGTTCGCTTGTCAGTAAAACTAACCAGTATTCTACTCGTTCAACAGACTTTGTCCAATGTAAATTCAAAACCTTAATGGGTAAAAAACTGTGTATTTGTCCAGTACAATGCTGCAATTGAGCAAAGTGTCAATGGAATTAAAAGCAAGTGGTTCCTTAGCTACTTTTAAAATAGTCCTCAAACTTTGGCTACAAAACAAAACTTAAAAGGATCCCAAATGTAATGACATGTTTGCTCTACATCAGGCTTGCCCAATTGTGATCCTTGAGAGCCCCCATGTTTTACACGTTTCCCTACTCCAACCCCTGATTCAAATGTTCAGATTTGCTGAGCATTTGAATCAAGTGTGTTTGACATTTATGATCTGTACAGGTGGTATTTTATCTCGGTTCCATTTGAACATTCTCAATTTTAGCATTTTATCAAGACTCTCATTCATGGTGCCCGAATTGCAAAACAAACAAACAAAAATGAAACACAAAGCAAAACCCGTGACGCCCACTACCGATCTCTCATGCGATAAACATGAAGCGGTCCTGTATAATGTCAGGAAAATGGGATTTCTCTCATAATTCCCTAGCTGATATATTACCGTTGGGAATTGATTGTTAAGTCTTTCCCAATTATTGTACGAAAAACAACCCATTAAGTTTATGATTCCGTGGAAACTAAATCACTGTTGTGTTTAATTAATGCAGCCTCACCTCTCTTGTTCCTTTCTATAGGTGACAAAGATGTTAGCTGTGGTGGTGATCCTATTCGCTCTGCTCTGGATGCCCTATCGAACATTAGTTTTGATCAACTCTTTTGTGTCCACACCTTATTTGGATGCCTGGTTCCTATTATTTTGTCGGACGTGCATTTATTCCAACAGCGCAATCAACCCCGTGATATACAATGCCATGTCTCAGAAGTTCCGCTCAGCATTTCGTGGGCTGTACCACTGCAAGCAGCAAGAGGGAAAGCAGAGGAGATTGTCAGTCACCCCTGCAGGATTTGTAACGGTCCGCGACCCTCATACGTCATTGTCCAATATGGGTGGACCAAATGAAGAAGCCAAAAGAGCGATTGTAAATGCTGCTACAGACGTAAACATAAAACTTAATGGAAATGATCATCAAGAGATGAAGGTGATCGATGGCAACCAAGCAGACAATTTTATTTGGCCAGCATCTTATTGTTTACATGTCAGTTCCATTGACACGTCCCTCCTAAGTGATGTGAAGGAGTCTCATTCAAACGCTGACACAGTTTATTTTCCTGACACGCATCCAAAAAAAAACTCAACTGGATGCTCCATGAATATATAGAAAGCTACTTAATTTATAGAAATTTGAAATACCCATCTAACTATTGATGTCAAAATATTATTTCTCAATGACAAAAAAAAAAAAAACAATCTCTAAAAAAAATCCATCAAGTATTAACAACAGAAAGTCAAATCCAAAATGTTCTTTGTGACAATATTTTCGATGTACCTGCACTGGTCTAGTCCGTATTCTTTGTGGAGTAAGAATTAAGAAGCCTAACCCACCCATTTTCAGCCATCCAAGGAGGCTGACATTGTAAGCAGTACTGCCACCTGCTGTTGACTGAAACTGAAGACCAAATGCCCTTGTTCTCGTATAGGGAACCCACTACCCGATTTTCTAGGTTTGGTCTTGTGACTTTTCCAAAGCGAAAAAAAAAAAAAAATCACGACCAGCACCAGAACCAGAACCACCAGTTTATTGACTGTGTTGCTACAGAGGAGTTGTGTTAATAAATCTAAAATCAATTTTCGTGTCATCATTTCACAATTTCTGTCTTCACTGGTTTGAATAAATGTTCATAGTGAGGCGATTGGATGAATTCCTTCAGGGAAAAGAAAAAAATAAAAGAGTTTTTATGACGTTCCTTAAGAACACTATATAAGATATCAAAACTGCTCTTTTTCTTTTGGTATGACATCTTGATCTTGTATTTGTAAGGTTTAGTGCTGTGAATGTCATGTGATCGACTACTTTTGCATAACTCTGCCTATCTACCCAAAAATACTCTATTTGTTTATTTGGCCCTAAAAAGAATGGATGCGTATATTATTTGTACAGTATAGTAAGCAAATTTGAAAGCTCACGCTGAGTGAAGTAAAACCGAAATGTACAAACAAACTTATCATGCCACTGGCAGTCAAATTTATGAGTCAATCCAATATTTGTAGCATCTAGTTGCTAACGTTGTCTGGCTGCTGTTCTTTACTACTAATTGTTATGTCCAGTTAATACATTAAGACTGTCTTATAAAAACAGCCCTTTATACAATACTGTACAGTGCCGTGAAAAAGTATTTGCCCATCTTCCTGATTTCTGTGTTCTTTGCATATTTATATCACACAAAGATTTCAGTTTCATCAAGCCAATTTTAATATCACACAGAGACAACTCAAGGAAATACAAAATGCAGTTTTTAAAAGACAATTGATTTGGATGCACAAAAAAATCCAAACCTACCTGTCCCAAAGTGAAAAAGTAATTGCCCCCTCAACCTAATAATGGGTTGTGCCACCCTTGGTAGAAATAACTTGAATTTATTTTGGTGATGAGTCTTTCACATCACTGTGGAGGAATTTTGGCCCACTCTTCTTTGCAGAATTGCTTCAACTCTGCCATTTTGGAGGGCTTTATTGCATGAACTGCCTGTTTAAGGTCACACCACAGCATCTCAATTGAATTCAAATCTGGACTCAGTCAGAGACACTCATTCAGAGGTGGACTTGCTGTTGTGTTTCGGATCGTTGTCTTGCAAGTTATCCTGGCCCTGAACTAGCAAAGCAGCAACAGAGCATCACACTGCAACCTCTATGCTTCACTGTTGGCATAATGTTGTTTTTATCAAATGCTGTGCCATTTTTATCCCAGACGTAACGAGCTGCACATCTTCCAAAAAGTTCAATTTTTGACTCAACAGTCCACAGAATGTTTATCTAAAAGACTTGATGTACTCACTGTTTTGTGTTTTGGCAAATGTGAGACAAACCTTTGTGTTCTTTTTGGACAGCAGTGGTCTTCGCCTGGGAACTCTCCCATGAATGCCATTTTTGGTTTGTGTTGTTCTTATGGCAGAATCATGAACACTGACCTGAACTGAGGCCAGTGAGATCTGGAGTTCTTTGGGTGTTGTTCTAGGTTATTTTACAACGTCTTGGATGAGTCGTCGTTGCACTCTTGGAGTATTTTTAGCTGATCGATGACTACTGGGAATGTTTGCCACTGTTCCCAGTTTTTTCCATTTGTGGTTTGCTGAAGCCCCGGAGTCTTGGAAATGGCTTTGTAACCTCTTCCGGACTCATAGATTTCAATAACTTTCTAATTTCTTCTTGAATTTCTTGAATTGCATGATGCGTTTGTTTCTTGAGATGTTGTAGCCTATTTCACTTTGTCTGACTGATTCTATTCATGTGATTTCTTGATTCAACAAATGCGGTGCTAGGGTGTTGCCTGTGAAATTGAACTCAGCTTTCCCAAAACGGTCGTTTGTCACAGTCACTTTGTGATTGAACAATTACTTTATCACATAGGGACAGATAGTTTTGGATTTTTTTTGTGCCTTAAGAAATTTAATTGGCATTTACAAGATGCATTTTGTATTTCCGTGGGTGATCTCTGTGTGACGAACTAAAACCTTTGTATGTGATAAATATGCAAAAAACACAGAAATCAGGAAGAAGGCAAATACTATTTCACAGCACTGTACGGCTTTCCGATTCAGTCTCAGGCTGTACTTCAGTCAGCTCCTTCCTTTCTCTGCAAGTATGTTTTGAGGGAAAAATTGTGAAATATAGTTACAATGATTTATGACAAGAATTGCAGAATATGTGTCACGAAACGTTAATTAATGTACAAAGTTGTATTGCTTTATTGACATTAAAAGTCTAGTTTTGACAAGTTGATTATTTGTGTTTATTCTTCCCTGTAAAGCTGCTTTTGTTGCTTGGTGTATTCAATGTGCTGTAATTACATATCGCTGCGGTTGGGCCGGAATTTTCAATGTCACAGTTTGGTAAATTTCCCATTTTCCCACAAACCTATAGCATTGGTCAGTACACACGTCGGTGTTATTTTTACAAATTACTGACCGGTATAAAATGTTCACAATGGATTGCTGTATTTGACAAAACAATGTTAATGGTTGAACAAGCGTGGATTATTGGAGATCTCCTGAAAAGTGATGATTTTGGAGGTATGAGAAGTTCACCCGACATCAGCGATATATTTAAATACAATTTAAAGTTTCAAATTGACTTCATTTGTAAAATATGTTGCCAATATTGTACTTGTTGACCTGTTCTCTTTTTGCTGTGTAATTTGTGCGCTAATAGTAACTTTTTTCCGCCCCCATGAAGTCAATGTGAATAAATAATTTAGTTTGCAGAGCATCTCTTGGTCACGGCTCATTTCTTAATAATTAAATGCCACTCAAAAGAATGACTTTGGCGGCGGTGGGCACAGACCATTTTCCTCTTCTCCACAAGGTTGTTTCTGCAGCTCTCAGAAGTAGTTCAGTTTGGGCCATATTCTCCAGTTTGCACATAAATCTTTTTTTATGGATTTTTTATTGGTATTTGTTGTCCCCTGTAATCTTTGATATCGTTTTATCGATTTTTATGGATTTTTTTATTGGTATTTTTTGTCCCCTGTAATCTTTGATATCCTTTTATCGGGTTTGCAATATAATTTGGGTTTGGAATGAGCAGGATGCCCTTTTTACAACCTGGTTTTGTTGGCCAGAAATAAGTGATTTGAGCACTCAGTTTTCCCATGAATATTCAAAAATCTGCAACAACTCAATATCATTGGCTCCAATTGGGTCTGTGTTCCCTTTTATTTGATGTGAAAAATAGTTTTCCTCTGATTGGTTTCCCGGTAAGTGGGCATCTTGTGGCCACCATGTCCTTTCACTTGAAATTTAGCCGGCCATCGAAGCAATTTTACCCGGCAACAGTGCACCCAGAGGCAAGGCGGCGGCCTGGTCCCCCCTGGTATGTGTATGTGTGTAGCTTGAAACCCGGAAATGTATTTGTTGAACATGAAGGCTTATGTTTCGGAAAACAAAATCTGCCCAAACAGCGCAACCATGGTTCCGAAATGCTTCGGAGTGGCTCTTAAATAGTTTTTACCATAACTACTCCGAGGTTGGTAGCTAATGTAAAGTTTAATATGCTGTGCTGTCAGTCATTTTTCCTGAGTTTAGTGGGCAAACAATGAAGTTGGCATTTACTTTAATAATAAATGATGCTTCTTGTCACTACGGTCCCAAATTCAAATCCGATCATTTTGCACCCCTCTTGACATTTATCTGCTATTGCTTCGAATCCAAAAACAAAGTCGTCACACTTAGAACAGGTCACACACTCATTTTGACAACAATGGGGGAAAATGGGATTATGATGGAAGGACACTTTTTTAGTATATTGTCCCAAACAGACTTCTGACAAATCCACTACATGTTAACTCAATAAATACTGAAACACACAAGAGGTGTGGTTCATGGACAACAGAGGCCACCCATAATGAATGCAAAAAACTAATCTAATCATAATATTGTGCTAATAACTGAATGTATGATTGGAAGTCTACAAATGGATGTGTGTGTGTGTGTGTGTGTGTGTGTGTGTGTGTGTGTGCCTACATTCTACATTATGGGAATTGAAAACACATGAGAACCTTATGAGAACCAGTTGCCAATCATTTGATTCCTAGGAATCATTTGCTAGCGCGCCTGACGATTTCTTTTCGCAATGGTAACACAACAGATGATTTATTATTCTTGCCATTTTTGTGCCTCAATCCTCAAATGTTACATTCGTCTAACAGTTGGAATTGTATTGAGCATAGCTGCTCAAGTAGACACAGGGATGAAGTTCTAAAGAGGCAAGTGATGATGTGTTAACGTCTCTGACGCTGGTCACAGTAGACACAGGGATGAAGTTCTAAAGAGGCAAGTGGATGATGTGTTAACGTCTCTGACGCTGGTCACTTGTGAGCTGATTTCAATAAACAGGGTCTGTGAAATGAGTGTCAGTTTATGCTGTGCGAGAATGCGTCAGTGACAGTTTGGGAGCACGTCCGCTTCTCGCACTTCTCTGGGATGGATACCAGTCGTCGACTTGGCGTGACATGGAAGGGGAACTCGGGGGGGGGGGCACCGCCGTGAGGCTAGATCTGTCGGGCTCCCTCTCTCTCTAGTCATCATGCTGGAAGGTTTGACATGCAGGAGACGAGCCTCCAAAATCACACAATTAGCATAGGCCACACATTCACACCAATGTAAATATTTTTCACCCGACAGTTCTGAGCTCATAAATACACTATTCAAGATTTCTTGGGGCTAGTGCACGGCAAGTTTTTCATTCTGTTGGTCCAAATGCGCCACGACACGTCCAGGTTTTAATGCATTGCACACATTCATCTCCTAAATTCTTTTAATGGATTACATACGTACATGCTGGGGGGGAGGGGCAGTTTGATCTGGATTGGAGGTGCAGGATAGTACAGCCGTGCCTTTTGCACCACAAACGTGTTTGAGACAGGCAGGATTGAAAGAATTAATAATAATACAGCATGAAATAAATTACCATTGTGATGAATGTACTTGAAATTAGTGGGGACCCCGTCAAAGGCTTGTCTTTTAATGCAGACGGCACAATTTTTGAAGTGAAATCGTTCCTCGCCAAAGTAGGTGTCCAAGAGACATTAAAAAAAAAAAAAAAAAAAAAAAACAATGACCAACAGAGGGACACAGATTAAAAAAAAAAAAATAAATAAAACAATGACCAACAGAGGGACACAGATGGAAGACGCCTGATGTGTCCCCAAACAGTGTCCCAATTTTCTTAGATGAAAAAGAAAATCACAAGGAAAGAGAAGGGTAAAATAAAGCAAGTCTCAAGCTTTGCACTTATAAGGGAGGGGCACAGTATAGGATTGGAAAAAAAAAACTCCACGAGAGCCACGGGAATAGGAGACATAAACAACAATGACTGACTCAAATACCAGCACATGTGGGAGGGTAGGTTGTATTGGATGGGGGCAGACGTAAAAGCCCAGACACCCTGGGTGGTGACCGCTGCCTTTCAAGGTGCACTGCACCTCCTCTGCACACCTGGACTATCACTTGAAGAAGGAGGAAAGTTGGCGGCAAAAAGACGATGGCAGGTTTGTGTATTGCGTTATGTGATCATGTGAGTGTGTGTGCGGAAGTCTATGTCCTCGGTCACCAGCCAGCACACCAAAACACATTGTCTTGTTGCCATGGAGATGACCCCGCTGAGTCCTGAACAGTGACACAAAGTACATGCAAGAGAATGAGGGGGTAGGCAGCATGAACATCC